AATTTAGCCTGCCAACACAAGAAAAACTTAAGACCTTTTCCCTCTTTCTTTTCTTACACTGCCTTTCCCCAGCCTTCCTTTTCATCTGCCCATCTCCTTTGCACAAAACAACCAACACAGTTTTAATTAAAAAATAAAAGAAAATAATATTAGGCAGAAATAAAATCTGGAACACATTATTAAATTTGCTGAGTGAAACTGTAAGAAATCAGAAAGGAAGGACTCAGATATGCATACACAATCCTCCTTTAAAATATACTAAATACAGAATTAGTTTCAATCATGGTCCAAAAGAACAAGTTTACTTCTCTTCCACAAACTGAGATCCTGATTTCAATAACACTTGACAAATAATACTTTTGACTCAAAATCAATTATAGCACTCTATCATCTCAGCATCACTTTTGGGAAGCAACTGTGACCTAACCAACTGACTAGGAAAACCTGGGTTCTTGGATCAATCAAGCATCTTGTTTTGACAAGTGAAAGCAGCTTCATGCTGTGTGCTGGACAAGCCACCAGCCTGAACTTCTAAATGACAGAATTACTAAATAATTGACAAATCTGATGCACTGTTGAAAGTGAAATGCGTCTTTTCCCTCACATTTGTACATACATCTATGAAACTATGGGCCTAAGAAGTACAATATAGCAAAAGAAATCAGTATTCTGTTCAACAAATGATAAAGCTAAATCCTTCCTTACTGTTTCCCCCCAGCAAGCTGCTGTTTACATTCTTTACCTTATAAAATTCAGACAGCTCTTCATCAGGGATCAAAAAGAAGGTAAGACCAGAAGCTATTTTAATTTCAGCTTCAAGTTAAACCTGGAAATCTGTCATTGCCCCATGGATTTGTATGAACAGATTAGATCAGCAATTTAACTGACATTTTAAATGACAAATTATAAGACATGAACTACTACTATTTAAAAACACACAAAGGAACAATCATTTTCTCATCAAGAAATCAAATATGAAACGTAAAGTTGCTATGGGACAGACTGCTGCAAGCTTTCTCTTGAGCTTCCTAGTTCCCTTCTCAGATTTACAATCATCTCATCTGTATCCAAACAATTATTTTGGTCTAATCTTGTTATTCTTCAAAAGATCTTTTTGCGCTTCCCTTCCTGAGGGCTAGGTCAGCAAACAATATCATTTCTTGCTTTTCTGAAGTTTGGAAAAGAGTTATAAGGTAAATTGGGAAGAAACAAAAAAATCATCAAAATAAAATATCTCACCTTATTTCCCTCTTCTTTGACTTGAGGATTTATGAGTTTTATAAATGAATAGAACAACTGTCGAATTCTAGAATCTCCTATGAACACAATATGTTTGTCTATGAGGCAATTTTTTGCTTCACTGTAAAACAAATCAGCAACATTCATGTTACAGGAAATTTATATGTCAGAAAAAAAGTATTTTGAAAATCTACAGAGCAATATAGATAACTAAGGTATGATAAATCTTTTTCTAAACATGCTGAATCAATAAAAACTTTAGTGCAATTTGCACAGAAATGAAAATGAATGCGTACGATGTGATTAGGCAAAGAACCAAGCAGGCTTTTCTATTCTGTAGTGCTACAAATACAGTCGTTTCAAACAGTAGTTTCAAAATGGTAATGTACAGCAAAATTCTAAAAAAAAAAAAAAAAAAAGTTCTCTTAGCAGTAGGTGAAAGAAAACAATTAGTAATTTTATTTGGGATATTTTTACTTGCAATTTGACACATAAGGTCAGCATTTTCCCTTTGAGCAATCTGAGAGTGACATGAAGCTATGCAGTCTCATGTGGCTCTCCATAACTCATGCCAGTACCTCTATCACCAATATTTATTTATATTTTTATACAGAAATACAACTATGGTAAGCACTGTAGACACACATATAATGTGCAAGGAAAAGATTTCTTTCTGACATATACTGTATATTTTTGAAAGCCTAGAGAATCAGCTATGAAGTGAACAATAAAAGATACTGCAATTACTACAGCTGCAGTCAAACAACAATGACTCTTCTTTCCATGCAGATGAACAGAAGACATGAGTTTCCTTACCTATTTTTATACTTATGCATCATACAACTGTGAGGTTGCCATACTTTTTCTCCAAGAAATCTCCCACTGGACAGAAGATACTCACATGTATCACCACCTTGAAAATGTTATATTAAGATTAGAATTCAGCTGCATGAAATGTAAAACATAGCTCCACTGCCATTATAAAAAATAACTTGACAATATTCGAAACACAAGAATTGGAACAATCAACCGCAGTAAACATATATAACTTATCATAAAAACATCTTGCACAAGTTTCTGCAAGTTGCCTTCTTGTTTATTATACCGCACTGCTCTGTAAATCACAACTCTCTACCCAAAATATTAGTGATCCCACTTCTGTTAGAAAGATGTTGTGACCTAGAATGGCATTTCCTTTAAAAGATGCCAATTCACTGTGCTATCCACTATCCAGAGTACATCAGAATATGAAAGAATACAATTGTTCAATATAATACTCTTCTACACAGAATCATCATGCACAGCATCTTGTATAGAACATGAATCTCAACACGAGATTGGGAAGAAAGTCTATTACATCTCCCTGCTTAAGATTTAGAACAGGTGGGTTAACCTGCTGGGTTAATATGCAAAAAAACCCCAAAACATTTACACAAGAATTTGCTGATCATTCTGGACTTCAGGTACCTTTTCCACTCATTAAGTTTTACAGTAATTAAGATTAATCACTTGACGGGTGATAATGTTTCAGTCATGTTAAGTTCTTATAAATAAAGTTATGTAATCAGTGACTGTTATCTTCCCAACTCCACATCAGAATCTGCTGCCTTATAACTGAATGCAACAGAACACCATTCACTGCAAGAGAAGTTGCCCTCCAACATTTTTGTCATACTTGGCATTTCCAAGCACTGCCAACCAGGGAAATCGTGGTGAATGAAATGGTAGGGACTTGTGCTGCTTGTGCAGAAACAATGTACCACCGCCCCTACTTGACACTTTCTGTGAAACCTTGACTTCATTAAACTCAACATATTTTGGCTTTCAAGCAACACAGTTTCTCTAATTCTCAAACATGCACACTTATTTTGAGTAAGTTGCATAATAATGAAACTGTCAGGAATAATAAAAAACCAATCTAATCAAAAGAAACAGGAGACATTCTCACTGACAATGAGAATAGGTGACTCAGAGTTATTACTGCTACAAAGTCCTCCACTTTGCAGATGATGAAAACTAGGAGATGTATCAAAGTGATATGAGTGAACCATATAAAAGAATATCTATCACTAATCAGATTCTCTCTGAAATCCATTAACTTGCTGAAAAAGATGCATAAGAAAATAAGAACAATTATTCATGGTCAGACCAATGGTCAGTCTAGCCTGGTATTCTGCTTTCAACAGAGGCCATAAACAGATGCTCAGAGATGAATAAGAAGAAGGTAAGTAAACATTATGATTTTGTCTAATATTCTTCCAACCATGTTTAGTCCAGGGACTTCCTGAACTGGACATGCAGTCCTCAGGTTTTGGCATCCAGAGCATCCTTCTAAAAGAGTTTTCCATACCCACAGCTGATGCTTGAAGAATCACCTGCCTTTATTTTAAATGCAGTTTCTACTACATTTACTTGGCAGTCCCTTGTTCTTCCATGGGAAAAGGCAGTCTGGACTCATGTCTATTATGATCTGTAGACCACTATCAATCCTTCCTCATTTAGGTTTTCAAGACAGGAGAATATCTGTATCTTGAGTTCATGACCCAAGCTTGGTTCCTCAGTACTCCATAATTACCCACAAATTAAACAATCCTCCATCTACAGCATGTTCACTGATGTAACATTCCAAACATCACACATTGTATATATCTTAAACAGAGAGACAATATTTCAGGTCAAGAAGTTACACCTTCCCTCCCAACTCCAGGTCCTGAATATCTTACTGTTGCCCTGAGCAATATTAGAAAGTTACTGAAACTTATTAGGAGAGTTACTGATGTCTGATATCTTCCTTTAAACATAATAGTAGAAGTCATGGGGAGAAGATGAGGGAGGGGAATAAAACCAAACTGGAACAGCAGCCAAGAAAGTAAACTGGAGGTTACAGACCAGACAGTTCCTCCAGAAATGCCCAAGGCTGGCTTAGGAAATGAAATAGCAACTGAAGAACCATGCTCATATTAATATACCACACCTTCTTCTTAGCCAGTAATGAGATGTTAAAAGAAAAAAACCCAAAGCATAACGACAAAAAACCCAACCTAAAACCTGAGATAAAGAATTCCAAGAGCCATTCTATAAACAAAACACAGAACATTCTTTTTAAACTCTTCCTTTGTGTTAGTTATCCTTCTAACATATTACCTTTTATGTTGGTATAGATACACTATGGTATAGTCCTACAAAGTGTATAATTTCTCTGAATTTTATTATGCTCATTATTCTAATTTATCATTCCTCAAAATCATGGTTATTCCACTGAAATTTTGAAATCTCTAAGTCTTCATTTAGTGCCAGAACAGACTAAGTTTCACAATGCTTTCTCTACAAGGCACATTCTCTGTTTCGAAAAACTGGAAATTCAATTGTTCTCTACCATTCAAAATAAAAAAACCATAATTTTAAAGAGAATCTACTAGTGCTGCCGGTGACCCCTAAATATAAGTTTCCCTGACCTTCCATAACCCCAGTCCAGCATTTTTTCATACAATTAACTTTTATACAGGCAAGTGTGACTGGGAATTGCACCGGGCTGCTCCTATCTAGAATATGTACTTGCATGACTGAGGCCAAAATTAACTGAAATCTTTACATGTAATGACAATCAGACAAAAGAAAAAGTATAAAAGCACGAAAAACACAGCAATCCCTTCCCTGGCACGGCCCAGCTTTCACAGACTGGCAACTTTGAGCCTGTTTGCAGGCCTACCTCATCCATCCTCTGCAAATCAGGATAACCTTTTTTGGGAGTATTTTTGGTATAGAATGTCTTGTGTAGAAAAAAAGTGCTTTCTTTTGGTAATTTTAAATATATTGCCTGCTAATTTCATTTTCAGTTGATACTTTTTGTGTCTTGACACAATCACAATGAATTTACCTTTCCCCAATAATTTGTAATATTTGAGACCGTTAACAAGTTACTATGTTTCTGTCCAGGCTACAGAAGTTCATTCTATTTCATTACTTCTTGTAGAGAAGCTGTTTGATTCTTCTGCTGTTTGTGTTACTCTTTTGTTCACGCTCTTCACGTTCTATTGTACCACTACTAAGAGGGGGTGACCAACACCACTAACAATAAGCGAGGTGCCAGTTAGCTTTAGTTGTGCAGTATCACAGCAAAATCTGCTTTTTTCATTAGTTGCCAAGAGTATTGTGACATTTGCTGAACTTCAGATGTCTGATATCACCGTAGGGTTGCAGACGATTTCTCAAGCACCTCTGCTTTCATCTCTCCTAAAAACTCTTGTCTGCTATAAATCTTCCACCCTCCTTTCCTAAACCACTCATTCTTCTGAATGTTACTTGTTCAAAGAAGCTCAAACTGGTAACTCTCTATTCACTCTGACTTCCATGTCCTCCTACCTTTTTAACAACTACGGGAAAACCTCTCACCCTCTAATTGCTACAAAAAACTAAAAGCCTTAGGCAAAAAAAACTTGTTGAAAGGTTTGTAACAATCCATACAGACCATATCAACTTACATAAAGTCCAGTAGATTCTCACAATTTTGAATCTGTGACTCAGCCCCCGAATTACTCTCCCAAAATACATTGAAATTATGCATATTTTAGTTTCCCTGTAACCTGCTTGATATGGCAGTCCCTATTTTCTCAGGCCGGTCTTGCTACCCTCCTCCTGTCTAGTTTTGTGACTCTCTTGTGCCGTAAGAACACTGCACAACAGGCAAGTTTAATTACCTCATGCTTGAGCTCCTCTAGAATTTAGTAAATGCTTCCATGTCTTCTAACTTAACACTGGTCAGTTTATCAGACTTACTGACATGCCAGTCAGAGGGTGAACCTGGGGAATTGTATCCATAAAGATCCCTACCCCCTTTCCCATTTCCACAGCAAACTGCCTCAGCCTTGCCTTCCATGGATGCCGGCAGCAGGTGTTAAAACCCGACACCATTTGTCCTACAACAAGCAGAGCCGCCGTGATCTCTCTATGGATCAACTTTCTGATTTGCCCACAGAAACATATCACATTTTTTAGCGTGACATGGAAACAAGAAAATATTTCCTTCAGCATTTCCATTTGCATTTACGGATCACGCCAAGATTCGCTGCTCCGAGGCCAAAACAACCGCGGAGAAGCAGAGCCGACGGAGCTCCCAGCGCCCCGTGACCGCGGCGCCCCGTGCACAGGCGGGCACGGTCACGGCTGCGGTCGGTCCCGGAGCTCGGTCACCGCCTGTTCCACGGCCACTGACAACGCGTGAAACCGAACAGCTCCTCGGCTCGCTTCATCCGCCAGCACGGCCGGAGTCTGTTATGTTCGAAGCGATGGTTTAAGGAGTGAAATTACATACACCAAGTCTCATACCAATTAAGACTTTAACCACTAATTGCCAAGGTAATTAATCATCCCGTAAGGGAACAAGTGACAGGGAAGAAGCCACCCTCTAGCCCTCAGCTTCACCTGCCGCAGGCCGGGCCCCGGGAGCTGCGCTGCGCTCTCGGTGCAAACACCGCATCACCACGGCCCCGCCAGCCTCGCTCACCCCCCTCGCCCCGCGGGGCCTCGCCCGGATGGCGGGAGCTGCGGTGACCTCCCGGTCGGGCCCCGCGGGCCGGGTCCCCGCTGTCCCCGCTCGTCTCCCGCCGACCTGCCCTGCCGCCCCGGCCCGTCGGGGCAGGGCCGCGCCTGCCACCCCCGCCGCCCCGCGGCCCGCTGCAGCTGCCCCGGGCGGTGGGACCAGCCGCCCTCCCCGCACGGCCGCGGTCCCGGGGCTCCGCCTCCCCTGCCCGGCAGCCGCGGCCCCCCGCGGCGCGCCCGCGGCCGCCCCCTCACCTCGGTAGCGGCGGGAGGCGGCGTGGCAGGCGGTGAGGAGCAGGACGGCGCCCAGCGCCAGCGCCTTGGCGCTCCTCACGCTGAAGTAGTAGTTGATCTCCCGCTTGCCCCCGGTGTAGGCCAGCGCCGCCATCTTGGCTCCTCCATGACAACAGCGTGCGATGGGGCGGGCGGGCGCGGCGGGGCAGCACTGGGTCCCCGCCGGCGGCCAACGCGGACCCCGCCGGCTGCCGCCGTCCCCGCCGCCGCGGCCGAGAGCAGCCCCACGCCCTGCTGCAGCCGGGGCGGAGCCACCACCGCCCTCCTGGCGCCGCCGCTTCCCCTCGGCCGCCAGCGGGCGGCCCCAGCGCTCGACTCCCCGCCCCGCGGCCGCCGTGGGGCTGCGGTGGGTCCCGGTGGGTCCCGCCGTGCTCGGTCCGGGCCCCGCGGCTGAGGGGGCGGTGGTGGGGACCTCGTTGGGACAGTGCTCCGTGAAGGAGTACCCTATGCGTGACGGCTGGTACTGGACAGTGAGGACTTCTTGCTAAATAATGCGATTTTAAGCACTTGTCACTCTTCTATTGGGAGTGGTCATTCCAGGCTGGGAGAAGCTCACTCCCTCTGAACGCGGGTAAGTGTACAAGGAAGCTGACACAATCACAGAATCAATAAGGTTGGAAAAGACCTCTGAGATCGAGTCCAACCTATGACCCAACACCACCATGTCAACTAAACCATGGCACTAAGTGCCACATCCAGTCTTTACTTAAACACCTCCAGGGATGGTGATTCCACCACCTCCCTGAGCAGCCCATTTCAATATCTAACCATCCTTTCTGCAAAGAAACTCTTCCTAATGTCCAGTGTAAGCCTCCCCTGGTGCAGTTTAAGACTAAGTCTTCTTGTCCTATCAATAGTTGCCTGGGAGAAGAGGCCAACCCCCATGGATTTAGATGGATTTGAGGGGATGCATGAAATGATTGCTGAAATCTTACAAAAGGGAAATCCTGTTCCTCTACAAGCAGCTACTTGAGTTGTACCTGGGAAAAGATACAGGGCAGCAAATTGGCTCTGAGTCCAGTCCCTCAACAGCGGAGGAGCTGGGAAGCAGCCACTGAACTCACCAGGCCCGGAGCAGGACAAGCTGTCACGGGAAAGACATTTCCACAAAATACAGTAACCACATATAAACAATATAAACAAATATAGAACTTAGGAAAAGTGTGCAGTATGCAGTCAGATAAATATGGGAAACAAATATGGGAAATAAACAGTGAGCAGTTGCCAAGCCTTGGGTGCATGATGAAGTACATACTGTGCTAGACAGATTCCCTCAGATCCAGCAGAATTCTTTTCATTAGGATTGGCCAAAAAAAAAATGAACAGAAAAAATGTTGTTTGTTTTGGGTTTTTTTTAACCAAACAGGTAAGCAATAATAATGAACAATCGGGTTCTGAACACACAAAAAGTTCCATTTTCATTTCACCGACCTTCCATTTCCCTGAAAGTTCTGAAAATCATTGAATTTGATTATTCATTTAATAATAGATGAAAAAAATAACTGTGTGTGGGGGAAAAAACAGTGAAATATTTGAAACAAAAACCGGGAAGTCTATCCACTCAAGCAATGTTTTATTTTTAAATATTACCTGAAAAACAGAAGAATTTAAAGTATTATGCAAACACAATGTAATGTGCATGCAAAATTTGAGTTCAAGTATTCCTCTATTACTATATGTTCAATGTATATCCCATTTCCATCCAACCAATGTCTTTACTATCTGCCAACATATAATCTATATTTTTTCTATTCAAGTCTGCCTGTTAATCACTTTCTCAGCATTGTTTTTAAATTATAAAAACACTATATTAAAGTGCCTAGGTTTATTCTCTCAGGGATAGAGGGAGAAAAAGTACCCCTTAAACTCCCAGGTATACAGATGGGTGGTTACTGGGTTATGTTTTTCTAAAAAAAAAAAAAAATGCAACAAAACCAAACTAAAATAACAACAAAAATCCCAGCAAATCAACCGTCCCAATTCTGGTTGTAGTATGGGTTATTTTACTACATAAATGAAAAATTCCCATTGATGCATAATTTTTGTCTCATGTATCATTCAAAAAGCCAAGAATTTTCAAAGCCTTCATACTGTGAACAAACTTTATTGTTTGTTAAAATATTTCTGTTAGTGCTTAGCTTTCTTTGTCCTCATTTCACATGCATTTTACACTTTAAGAAACAACTTAAATATTTTTTAACACCTCTAACTGAAAACATTCACTAGAATGCTGGTAATTTACTCGCAAGTTAGAATAAGGTGAATGAGGAGGAATGGTGACTTTCTGATCAATTTAGAAAATAAGTTTAAATTAGATAGATATAATTTACACAGGTATAATTTAGATGAGATAGTTCTTTCTTTAATGCTTCCTGACTTTGTTTGGCAGGCTCAGTGTACATAGAAGGAGAGCTTTGTGCCATGGGTCAGACCTGGCATGCACATACAAGTTTGCTGATAAGCTTCGTTCATGGTAGATCTCCTTCAGTATTACAGCATTACTCTGTGTTCTGGAGTTGGAATGGCTGTCATCAGTCAAAGGCACAAGGCAATCACAAGGACTGGAAACATGTAAGAAGATAAAATGGCTACTATAGTATAAAGTCAGCTATTATAGAGAGCTGGTATTTAAACATTTTCAGTCAGAGGAATAGTAGGGCATTCTCATATGATATTTTCCCTTTAGAGTTTTTATATGTTTATAAGAGTGTAATTAATTTTTCACAAGTATATATAGCAAGGAATATAAGTACCAATGCTGGAAGAAAAATTAAATTACCTTTAATTTATAAGTTTCATAAGGAAAATATTCATGTGTTCATAAGGAACATACTATTTGTTATATAACAATCCTAAACATCCACTGGTCAGATTATGTGACTAATACATCTGTTCTAGAGCAGGCAGTAGTTACAAGTATTGAGGCCATGTTGCTGAGAACACAGCTGTGTTGGGCAGGACACGTCTCCAGGATGAAGGACCACCGCCTCCCTAAGATCTTGCTCTATGGTGAACTTGCCACCGGCTGCCGCAAGAGAGGAGCCCCGAAGAGAAGATACAAGGACTCCCTGAAACAACATCTCAGCCTTGGCCATATCAATCATCATCATTGGTCTACTCTGGCCTCCAATCGGGAGGTCTGGAGACACACCATCTATAACGCGGCTGATGCTTTTGAGAACACAGGGTCACTCTCGAGGAGAAAAGACAACGCAGAAAGAATTGTGGCTTGCTGAATATACCACCAAAGGAGTCTTTCTGCTTTGCCTTTTGCAACCGGACTTGTCTATCTCGTATTGGCCTTTTTAGCCACCAGCGTGCTTGTAACAAATGTGGGTAGAGCCCTTCCCAAATTTTCGTTTGCGAAGTCTAGCCATGATGATGTTTTGTTATATACTATAACTGGAATATTCCCTACATTAACTTACAGGTTAAGTGTTGAATAATTAATTAGTAGGATTTGCCATACCCCAAACCATATCACTTCTCAATTTAAATGTAGAAGCATTGCTGGATTGTGCTGGTCATATTGCAATTCCAGAAATAAAGCTGCATTTCCAACATGTTCCTGGACAGTGTATTATTTTCAGTAGTGCAGCTTTTGCTTTGGCAGCTTTTGAGTACTCACCAAATGATGGCATCAGACATTTTAACTGCTGAGTTTTCAGCCTCATAATGGCAATCAGTTTTTCCCTAAGCGTCAAGTTTCCATGTGGTGCGTGCGTGTGTGGTAGTCACCTATTGCAAATATTTAATTGCATTAATGAAGAGGGAGTACAGATAGTAAGAGGGTTTTTTCTCAGTGGACTTGTTCAATTAAGCAGTGTAGCCTGTGTACTGTTGCAGCCAAATGCTAAAACAAATATGCCCCCAAACCTGTAAGATCTTGGAAATTCTATCACAAATTACTGCTTTTACAGATTTCTAATTTTGTAAAAGTTATAAAAGTGGTTCCTCAATAGTCTGTACTAAAGTCAAGATGATATTAAGTGAAGTAGTTATGAAATCACACATATGAAGGCCATACTTAACTTTATCCTCAAGAGATAAATACACCTGCAGTTCTATAACATGAGGCTTAATAGTGTTTTTGTTTAGGGTTTCTGTGGGTCCAAACCAGATTTGGATTGGAGGGATGAAGACAGGAAAAGGAAATAGGCAGACTGCAAATACTTATGTCATCTGTCCCCTTTCATTAAGGACAGTCAAGGGGCTACACCTTTCTGCATCATGGGTTGTGTCATCTCTGTGCACCTACACAGTTCTGAGTCCAGGCTTGGACTCTCTGCTCAGCTCACTAATGCAAATCTATTTTTCTTTCAGCTGCTTAGATTCTTATCCTCAAAGCTTTGTATCCATCAAGGTTATGGGTTAAGAATTTTCAATTTAGATGAGTTTTTTGGTATTCAGGTACAATTTTTTTCTATTTCCCTCCTCTCTTTTCTTGACTCCTGGTTGAGGGAAAATGGCAGTCATTGTTAGTTCCTTGTCAAATTGAGTAATTCCTTTTTTATCAACACTTT